CCGGGCCGGCCTGCCTGCAGAGCTGTGCCTCCCCCTCCAGTCTGACCACTGCCTTGTTTGGACCTTTCCACAGTAACAAGGCCCCCCTTGGTGCCCCTGGCTCTGGGAAATGGAAAGGATCGAAAGAAGGATCGGGGCTGAATCCTGCGACACCGGCTAATTACATGAGCAGGATGGCGCAGAGCCAGGGAGGAGGAGGAGGGCTCATTAGGCGGCTCTGCCTTAAGTTACCAGCCCCAGGGAGAGGCTGTCTCCGCTGCCCACTCGAGTCAGGAGAGCAGGAGCCACGACTCTGCCCAGCCAGCGGGGGCTTCCTGAGAGGGTGGGGGGGGCGAGTTAGGAGGGCCCTGAAAGCAGCCTGTCCATCTCTGCGCTGAGGTTGCCTGTCCATCCAAGTGGTTGAGTCCCTTCCCAGCATCCTCTCCTTCAGTGCCTGTCGGCCTTTGTCCTCTTTGCCTCCCTCCCTCCGTCAGAAGCCAGTTTGGGTTTCTCGTTTTGTTGGTTTTTTGTTTTTTTCAGTTTTCATTATTACTGCTTTCTGTTACCAGTATCGTTTTAAATTTGCATGTTGAACATCTGCGAGTGACCCTTGGTGAGTGATGACATCAGCATGTTCTGCACTGAAACATGGCATGTAGGACATATGACTAACAATAGGTCAGCCCCCCACCCCAACCCCACCCCAAAGTTGTGCGTAGGTGCAATTGGTGGGAACTCAGAGTGGTCGTCGTGGGGGTGGGGGTTGCTGCTGGTCAGTCTTGGGGGCCCAGGGCCTCTGTCCATCCTGGTGGTGTGCCGCAGTCACCCACCGGGAAGGAGGAGGAGGAGAGTGGCTTGTGCCCATAAAGATGAAATCAGCTGGGGTCTCGGGAAGGCAAGGCTGAAGGTGCATATGGCTCCCTGGCCGGTCTGTGTTCTGATGCCTGGGCAGCTCAGTTGCGGATGTGAGGGGCTTCAAGAAGTTTGCGGGGAATGGGAATTTTCACAGACGTTCTGAGGCCACCTTGATAGATTGGCTCGCTGTTGCTGCCCCAGGGACCATC